AATTAATTTTTAATAAAATATAAAAATTGTTAAAGCAAACAATAAAAATAGCAATTTAAATAGAATTGTATTTGATAACATTTCATTCAATAATACATATACATAAAAAAAAATGTCGAAAAAAATTTTTTTTTAAATATTTTTGAATATTTTATTTACATATCTAATATTATCACAATTCTGCGTTTTCTATGATTTTTCATCAATTAATATTTTTTGTTAACAAATTTTATATTTAACTTCCGTTAGCAAAGCCGAAATAAAAATAAAAGAAAAAGTTATTTTATCGAATTTTAGAACACTATATATTACAGCGATAAGAAATCATAATTTGTGTCTTGTCGAAATCATTCTTTGAATGTTTGTTCGTTTTTTTGGTTTGAAGATAAAAATAAATAAAATATGTGAAAATATTGCGTAAAAATATAAAATAAAAAGTCTTAAGAAAACCATGCAAATATGAAAAAAATTGTATAAAAATAACTAAGAGTAACATGTTAAAAAAATAATGTAAAAGCGAATTATGTAAAAAAAAAAATATCGTGTAAAAAGAACTCCAGACGTACTATTTTTTTGTTTATTTCAAATAAAATATTTATTTCAAATTTGTATATAATAAGTATAGATATCAAAATATTAAAATACATTTGAAATATTATTTTTCTATATAAAAATTATTTTAAACAAAAATTTATTTGCATAATATCATTCGAAAAAATAAAAATATTCGTTTTTACTTATCTATTCCAAAAATCTAAATTTTCTCCAATTCTGCTAAGAATTAAACATTAAGTTATAACAGTTCTAATAATCTCAAACCAAAAATTACAAAAATATCGTGATAAATATAATAATTATTATTCGAGCGAGCTCGACAATAATTTAAAAATAATTGCTGGTACAACATGCATCGATCAAATTCTCGTGCGGAAAATCTCCGTTATTCGCTCAATAGACTTCCCGCCGTTTAGAACGGTTCGAAAGAGTAATGGCAATTGCCATTCTGCCATCTGAGGGCATTTTAATTAAGCAATCTCGCCGAGCTACGATTCCTGCAAAACACCTTATGATCCACGCACCACTGCATCGTGCTTTTAAACGAAGAGATCCTTCCGCGTTACTGGCGAGCCAGCACAACTAAATCAACACCGATATCGAGATTCGATCACGAGGTTCTTTCCTTTTTTCAATTAGCCAAGATACTTGAAATACAAAAAAAGATTAGGTTGTACAATAAGTCCATTCGCATAAAAAAAAGTAATTGTTTTGTTATTTGTTAAACGATTTTGTTTCTTTAAAAAATTGTTTTGTTACTTATTTGATGCAGAACTAAAATAGATTTTTGAAATAGAAATAAATATTTTTATTATTTGAATGAGTGATAAAGAATTTGATAAATAATTTTTTTTTATATTGTAATTATATAAAGAAACAGTATTTCAAATATATATTTTAAGTCAATATATATTAAGTCATGTTAATACCTATTATTAAAAAATGAATATTTATATCAATTTCTATTTTAAATAATATTATTAAAGTAAACTTTTAAATATTAATATTTATACTTTTATTTTATAAATAATTGGAAATATTGTAGTATAGTGATTTACTTTATAAAGAAATATATATCTTTTCTTTTAAAAAATTTCGTTAAAATTGTTGAGTATTGACTAAAAATTAAATTAAATAAATGTCTAAAATTTAATAAATATTTTAAATGAAAAGATGATATTTCGATATTATTATATAAATAGATTTTTAATTAATAGAACATTTCTTAATATCAAATCAAGTAATTCAAATATTCAAATAATTTCATTTTGGGTAAGTATATATTATTATTTCTAACGCAAAAGAACGAAAAAAACATCAAAAGAATTGAAAAATTAAAATTACATATATAATACATACAAGCATTACATAAAATGATATTTTCAGTTTATATTTGCTTATGAATAATAAAATATTTTAATAAAAACTGAAATACAATATAATTATAATTATAAATAAATAAAAAATAGAAATAAATATTGAATAAAATTAAACGATTTTATGAAAATAATTACATATAGATATATCTATGATTATTATTTCTATCTGAATAAAAATCAATATTAATTTTGTTAAAATTATTTATATGTTTTTAATTATATGTGATAACAATAAACATAGAATTAGTTTGATAATTCTAGCGTTAATATAATAACGAATGGATGATTTTATTTAATTGAATCATTTGAAAACAATACAAGAGAAATGATCATTATTCATATTCAAATAATATATGATTAATCTTTAATAATGCGAAAAAAATTATTGAAATGTTTAACATATTCATAGATCTTAGTTTTATCTAATTTTTATTTATTTAATATATGAAAAATCATTTATAAATATTAAAGAATGCATAAAAAAAATGATTCAAAACTGTAAAAAATTAAATATATAAATCATTGATTGTACAAAATTGTTAATTTAATATTATAAAGAAACACAAAAGAATTTATTACACAGCCTAGTATTTATTATATATATAATATTCCATAAATAATGTTTTAAAAGTTTTTGTTTGCAATTGTAAAGAAGTATATTTTTGAAATAATATCAAATTTTGAAACGAACAAGAATAGTTTTTAGTAATATTTCTTTAATGATAATAATATTCAGCTTTTATAAAACAAAATTTTTTATTAATAATATTAAAAAATTAATATTTAATAATATTAAAAAAAGAAGTTCTCTTTTAATATTTAAGTATACATAACAAAAACAATAATATCAATAATTAAACAATGTAATTGATATTAATATATTAAATATTTTTCCACTCCAGCGTCAAAAAGATATAATCTATTTTTTTATTACAAACTTTTTGAATATGTAAATAAAAAAATTAACATTAAAAAAGTTTTTTAATTGAAAAAAATAAAAATGTTGATAAAGAAAATAAATAAAAAATTTGTTAGTAAGGAAATTAAAAATTTGCCTAAATTATAAAGAATAATCTTCACAAATTATAAATAATTATAAATAATATAATAAATTTAAGTATATAAGCAAATAAAAAATAAAATAAAAGTTTACTTGAAAAAGAATTTATTTCGATAGCATTTAATGATTATATTTTAAATATCTCATATATGAGTAGAATAAAAATGACAATTTTAATAAATATATATAAACGTGTAATTTTATTTTAACAAAATACAATTAATTTTCCCAAAAATATAAATATATTTTTTAAAAATAAAAATATATATATGAATAAAACACAAAATCTGAAATTCACTTTTGGAAATACTTGATAATTTTAGCTAAAATATCTAATACGTAAGAAACTGAAATTAAATTTTCAATAAAAATTTATTAATATTAATCATAAGAATTTCTAGTGAATTATTTAACTCAAAAAATCGATATTATAGAAGCTATTTTCTTCTATATAAAATAAATTTTCAGACTGAAAAAATTATAGAATTTATTGTTTATTTTATGTTCATTTTATTTCATAATGTGATATATATTGTATTAGAGATTATATTAGAGAATATAATGATTTATTAAAATCATTAATTAGTATTTTTTAAAATAGTAATAACATAACAGCTTAAAATATAATATTATTATATTATTAAATATAAAAGAATTTGTTATTTTTAAAAATTAATTGTATAATAAGTATAAAAAATTCATTTATTTATATTAAATTGAATACAATATGAATATTTCATAATTTCAATCAAAAAATTTTGTAATATTAATAATATATAGTATAGTTCATTTGTTTTCTATTAAGTGATATTTCATATCAAATATGATAATTATTATCATAGAAGTTGTCCACTATTATTAATATTCTTATAACACTATGTTACATATAAAATCATTTACTTCAATAAAATATACACTTT